AACATTGAGCTTGTGGCATTAAGAGAAAGTCTACTGACTTACCCATAAATACAGGAGATGTCAATGACCACGTCAATCATATCACAGCACAGTTCATACGTCTGCATATCTACTGGACTGCTGTCTGTAGCGATGTAAATCTTGCTGCCTACATCAAACAAGAAGGCCTTTTCAATACCCGAGTTCTGAAATCAGAGGCAGAGAAACAAAAGAGAAAAGTAGTTATGGATTTTTTCTATATAAATACCATTCTATTTATGACCAGTCTATGCAGCCAGAATAGTTGCTTTAACAATTAAAGCACTAAAAGGCTGTCCCAAAAAAAAAGCAAAGGAAAAAGAAAACTGCACTGCTGAGTTCTTATTAACACCAGAATACTTTTCCCACCATCATTATCAAGTGCATTTGTGACAAAGAGGGCGGCATTCTCCCTCTCTCTCCCCCTCTCTCTCTCACAGTCTATAGGAAGATTGGTGATTTATGTATCTATGGGTTTTTTTGTCTTTTACAGGGGCTCAGTTGGCGAAGCATTGCACATTCATCATTCCCCCCCATAGTGACAGACGAAGCGATACCGAATTCAATTCAATTTTATTTATACAGCGCCAAATCACAACAACAGTCGCCTCAAGGCGATTTATATTGAATGACAGAAACATCAGGAAGAAGAAACACGAGAAGCAGGAGAAGTTCCATCTCAGAGAAGAAGAGTGCAGTCCTAGGAACAGCTAAGATACTGTACAGGACCTGGGAGCTTGAAGGTTAGCCTGCTAGGTTACACTTTGTTAAGAATATTTGTATATTAGATTTTATTTATCATATTTTTACTTTGTCCCTTCACTGTATGGAAACCAAGTGTTTCTTGCTGTCAATCCAAACTCTTTCTTAGGAACCTCTATGGACTCAGAAGCCTTCATCAGAGGAATGATGTCTGCCTTGTCCTATTGTAGAGGCTCCACATTTGTGCCTCCAGCAGACATTGCTCAACGGGCATACTGGAGGAAAGTTATCTGTGGTGATGCTGCATCTTGTCGTTCTGAATCTACTGCACAACTGGACAGATTCTTTCCCCAGATTATATTGAACGTCTTCCGTTGTTTGTGTCCCTGTGTGAACTGTTATGAATATTGCATAGTTCATGTAGGCATGAGAAATGCAGAAGGTCTTCAGGCCACGCTTGAGGCTTCAGGCACGTATTATGAATGGCTGTCTCAGTGCCAAATGTATGCTGTCTGCTAATTCCTACTGTATAAAATAGTCTTCTGAAGAGGTGACACTGTTGCCCACAAAATATATATTCCTGACAGTCACAGTTGATTGTCAAATTGTTGAATATTGTCATTGTGTTTCTTAAATTTG